GGTGCCACAGAAATAATGTCTCATCAGAATGTCAGTGATCTATAATTCTTATGCAGAGGGGTCAAAGCAAGGGCCCACGCCCTGCCCTTTGTATGTGGTTCGGGGTCAGAATACACCCAGGTTTATTGGAATAGAGTTTTCACGTTTGTTTTCTATTTTTCTTATACAGTGTTTAGGACTGTCAGCCAGGGAATTCTCTCTTCGTCACTGAACAGAGGTGCTTGGGTTTCCTCATCAGAGTCATTTGTTCTCAGTAGGGTATATACAGGTTACATTTTGACTTTTCGGACCTCATGCAGCTCACTCACCCCATTGTGGTCCCCACAAGGTTTTACTGTGGGTAAAAGCAGAAGATAGGTTTTCACAGAGGCTCACAGGCCTTCAAGCCAAGATTCTCTGAGTGTCAGTTGGGATGTTTCGCAGCTTTACACACAGCTTTACATGCATGTCCTCTAGCTTATTTTCTGTAATCTGAAGGGTTCTTAAGTTCCTTTTGCTGCTGAGGACTGCAGCCACTGGATGCTGATGATGGCCAAGCTGACCAGTCCCGAGCAAAAAAGGTAGCCCCAGTCCCCAGCTAAAGAGGTGCACCAAGGTGAGGCACAGTGGAATGGTCACAACCCCCTCCTGATAGCTACAGCTGCCTGGTCCCTTCATCCAAGCTCGTGGGGGTAGGTATTCCAGCACTGTGTTCCTGGTGCTCGCGTGTGCATGGGCAGCCGAGCCACTCAATGTGGTTCCACCCAATGCGGGGGCATGCATGAGTGGATAAAAAATATTGATTTTTAGATGTCAAATACTTATACTTAATCTTTCAAAGAAGCTGTTCTGAGGTACCACTATTTTAATTCAAATTCTTAAAGTCAAAAACAAGACATAAGGAAAGAATAATAACTGGGCCCAAACCATTGTATCACTATGTTCTATTGATATTAATGTTATAATGCAGCAAATGAAAGACTCTGGGTAGCCTTATAAAATTCTCAGATGTGTGTCTCCCTTAAAGTAACTTTAATTCTACTTACTTTTGTTACGGATACCCATAGACTACAATTTATTTAGACACTTGGTCCCCAGTTTGTTCGGGGAGGGTGGAACTTTAGGAGGTGTGGCTATGCTGCAGAAAGCATAGCACTGGAGGCAAGCGTGCGAGTTCTTGAGCCTTGCCAGATTTCTAGTCTCTTTTTGCTTCCTCTGCCTGCTTGAAGTGTGATCACTAATTTTCTGCTCAGGCCACCTCTGTCTCCACGCCCTCCAACCCCCCATGCCTCCCCCATCATGGACTTTTATCCCTGAAACCATAAGCCCAAATAAACTCTTCCTCCTATTAAAATATAAAGAGGCAAGGTCAGAAAAATAAATGAGAGTAGGGGGTGATTGTCAGAATTCATCTTTTTTCTGCTATAACCTCTAAAGTTGGGGCTGGAGAGACGACTCAGCGGTTAAGAGCCCCGACTGCTCTTGCAGAGGACCCGAGAGTTCCAGTACCAGCACCCACAAGGCGGCTACGAACCAGCCTTAACTCCAGTTCCAGGAGAATCTGAATCCAAAATACCTTTCAAAGTCAGAAAGCATATAAGATACAAATTAAATGTCTAGACCAAAATGCTTCTAAAGCAAACAAATCAAATAGATACCCTAAACCAAGTACTTTGAAAGCAAACCAAAAGCAAAAGGTGTCTGCAAAATAGGATCCTTAAACAACAAGCTCAGAATAAGCAAATGGATCAAGAGAGGTCCAAAAGAGTCCCAGAAAGAACCCACCATACTCCACCTGCAGTGATAATGCCAGGTGGTTTGGATCCAATGGGTCCATGCTGATACCTCATTTCTATCCAGGGGACTCCTCTGGTGAAAAGTGGATTATTTTTGGAGCCTCACTTTGGGTGCCATAACTGTCAATAAAAAATACAACTCTCATCACAAAGGGGATAAGAAATGCTTTATTCTAGAGCCAAATATAAGTGGCCATGGCCTAGGAATGTGGTCACCGCCAGTGACAGCCACTCCTCCGTTCTCGTGGGTGCCACCCCTTTGTTCTCTCGGGCATTGAGGCTGCTCCTCCACTCACCCTGGGCTGAGGCCACTCTTCTGCTCGCCTTGTGCTGCCTCCTGTCACCACTGCTCCTGCCCAGTCCTGGCCCCCAGGGCTGGTGAGGAGACTGTGTCTGCAGAGCCCCATTCAGACACAGGAGACCAGGTTCAGTGACACAGGTCTGTTTTAGTGCAGGAAGGCACAAGCTTATATAGGGGTAGTGGTCCAATCACAGCACAGCAAGTAGAATACCTCATTAGCATAACAGGTTTAGCATCCTATCACAGTACAGCAAGTACACAGCAAGTAGGATACCTTATTAGCATAACAGGTTTAGTGACCTATCACAGTACAGCAGGTAGGATGCCTCATTAGCATAATGGGTTTCAGATTACAGAGCCTGGATTCCTGGAAACCACATGACTCTGACTGTTGCATTATCTAAGTGTTGCAATTTTGGATTCCAAGGGTGGTGATTAGGGAGTGGTGAGCTCTAGGCATCAGTCTCATGATCTGCCAATGGGAGCAAATGTCACAAGGTATTTCTTGTGGCTCCAGCAGTTGGGCAATTGCCTCGGGCCTACTGTATGGCTATCAATAAGACTTTCACCCTAGGCTCAAGCTTATCTCCCACACAGGAACACAGATTTAGTTCACCCTAGGTTTTTTTTTTTTTTTTTTGGTCTTTTTGAGACAGGGTCTCCTTGTAGCCCCAGCTGTCCTGGATTTGCTATGGAGACCAAGCTGGCCTCGAACTCACAGAGATCTGCCTGCCTCTGCCTCCTGAGTGCTGAGTGCTGTGATTAAAGGTGTGCACCACCACGCCCGGTTCACCCTAGGTTTTTTATGAGTAACAGAACAAAGAAGTCACAAGTCAAGACTTTTCAATTACACTGATATAAATATTGGAGAGGCAGGTTCAGAAAATCAGAGAAACCTTTGTTATAGGCCTCAGACACTACCTGATGACATTCTTAGCTTCTGAGTTGGTAGAAATTAGTGCTCTGAGGCTGGAGAAATGACTCAGTGGTTAAGAGAACTGACTACCCTTACAGAGGACCTGGGTTCAGTTCCTAGCACCCACATGGTGGCTAACAACTGTCCATAGCTCCAATTCCAGAGAATTAGATGACTTCTTCTGACCTCCATGGGTGTTGTATGACATGGGTACACTTACACACAAGCAGGCAATACACTCACATATATAAAATAAAAATAATAAAATGTTAAAACAAAAAGAAATTAATGTTCTGCTTGCACATTCCAAGTGATGTACCTATAGTCACCAAGGATATAGGGTCATATACAGAGGATATCAGTAAATAATAACTATTAAGGGGGTAAAGATAGCCCAAGATATTTGGCTTTGGATTTGCAACATTCCAAACTCTCTGCAGTCATTAAATTATAACCAGTTAATCAGCCTTGCAGAAGGTTCTATTTAAAGGTGTAGTTTCATTCACACTTACATTTCAGTATTTTGACCAGTTAGCTAATTTTAAAATGTGGAACTGTTTTTATGGACCATTGTTAGCCACCATGTGGGTACTGGGAACCAAACTCAGATCCTCTGCTAGAGAAGCCAGGACTCATAAATGCTGAGCCATCGCCTCAGTCCTGTTTTGTTCTTAATAGCATTTTTGTGATAAACTTAAGATTTTATGTTTTGTTAAAAGATTTGCCTTATGATTCTTGTTTATGTTGTAGATTTTTGGCTACCTAGGAAATTGTCTTAATAAAATCAAGGTTCATTTAAGTATAAGTCTGTGTTGATGGTCTGTAAATGACTCTTTTGTAAGCAACTTAAAAAATTATTTTAACATGTTTAATGCTCTATGTATCTGTGACTCGAACATGTATGACTAAATAAAATGTATACAGTATGCAAAATTTACATAGTTCAAAGAATGTAAGGTTAATACATTCAAGGAATCCAACAAATCTGATGCTGAGCCCAGTGCCTTCGCTGCAGTCAGGTGTGGTTGGAGGAGAGACAGTAACAGTAGCTGCAGCTAGTCAGAGCCAATTGAGTATTGGGTACAACATGCTAAACCATGACCCTGCTTCCCCATGGTCACTGGCCGTGCTTAATAGCCTGAGCTAATCTTAGCAATAATAAAAGAAATCCAAGAAAGTCCCAGGACAGCACCCTCGATAAAAAAGGGACAACTCATGGAGACTGTGGGTCAGGGAGGGCTAAGCAGCAAACTCCTTCCCACAGAGCTTTACCTCATTGATATTTTAAAGGAACAGCTGATACAAAGGATGGAATCTTTCATTCTGCATTGCTTACATTTTTATTTAATTTCCTTAGCTACTGACTGCAGAAACAAATAGGACTCTCCTTATTATAACATATATGATGGCCTAGAGATCCTGACCATTCTTTGTATAAAGGTTTCATTACATGTGTGACACAATGCTGACTTCTTAGTGTTTTGCAGACTTAAAAAGACATGGGGGAGGGGAATCACCATTTGGACAATCTAGCTATTTGAAACCCTGGTGTATATCTATTTGCCTTGACAAAACAAGTATTTTTGTTATTATATACATGAGACATATTCATACATAATATGTAATAACTAGTGCTGTTTCTAAGTTTGTGGGCGATTAAAAATTTTAATTATCAAGCTTGATATCATGGTATACTTCTTTAATTTTGGCACATGGGAAGCAGAAGCAGGCACATCTCTGTGAGATCAAGGCCAGCCTTGTCCACATAGTGAGTTCCAGGTCAGCGAAGGCTATAGGGTGACTTTGTCTCAAAAACAAACAAAAAATTTCAATTATCAATGCTATAGACTTATCATACTAAATCAAAGATTCTAAGTTTTGTTTCAAAAGTAAAGGTTAAATTAACATACTTTATAAATTTGTGGAGATAAAAATTTCAACTATCAATGCTGTAGACTTATCCTACTAAACCAAAGCATCTAAATTTTTATCTTAAAAGTAAAAACTATCATCAGGCAGGATAATCCTTACTTGATCCTCCTTTTGGAGGGCAGATAGAAAATAATGGCTGGGTTCGTGATTAGCATCTCTGTGTAATCAGGACTTGCACTACCCTGATTGTTCCTATTTAATTCTCTGAAACAAACAAACAAACAAAAAATAGAAAGAAAAAAAGTAAAAGCTAAATTATGTCTGTATAGCTCTTCTGTGTAATGAAACTAATTGTTGCTGACTCTTACATGTATAGATTCCCCTTTAACTATGTAAAACTTCTAAAGAATCACAGATATTACATATTAGTAACTCTGTTCACAATTACCTAATTTTCAAGCTATTTTTACTGTTGTTGGTTGTGTTTTTGTGAAGCTTTATAACTAATTATTGGTTGTTACTTGATAGCTGTGCTTTTAAAAGCTTGTAACTGTGTGTTAACATTCTACAGAAGCACAGCATGTGAAAAAAGGACCTAAACAATATTTTTGAAATACTGAGACATTATCCATAAGACCAGCAGTATGGACTTCAGGTATGCCTGACCTAAGAGCACCCATTCCTCAGTTGTTTAAAATTGGCCCGAAAAGGTTTATTAGCATAAACTCCCTGATATCTGCCACTTATCCCTTCTTCCCCAATATGGAACAAAATCAGACCAAAAGGAATGAATATTTTCCTAGAATCATGGATCACTGGAGAAAAAAACCCACCAGATGGTTAATCATCAATGTCTTCAGAGAATACTGTTCAGAGAGGAGGTTGTCAGAATTAAAAAGTCTTGGGGCTGGAGAGATGGTTCAGTGGTTAAGAACACTGGTTGTTCTTGCAGAAGACCTGGGTTCGAATCCCAGCATCCATATGGCAGATAACAACTGTCCGTAACTCCAGTTCCAGGGGATCCAATGGCCTCTTCTGTCCTCTGCGGGCATTGCACGACATGAGTGCACTTATACCCATGCAGGCAATACACTCATACATATAAAATAGAAATAATAAAAATATTAAAATAAAGTCTTTCTGGGTACAGTAGCACTTACCTGTAATCCCAGCATGTGGGAAGCTGAAATGGGAGAATTGTGAGTTTGAGGCCAGCCTAGGCATCATGACAAAATCCTGTTTCAAATCAACAAGATGGAGTTACTTGTCCTTCCAAAAGTAATGAAAGTCAAGAGGTTATGAAAAAATCATTCTTATGCATAGGTATTTGACATTATGTTCTATCCCTGGTTCCAACTTCTACTCTGTTTATTATATTTTTTTCAGACATATATACATATTCCACCTCAAGACCGAGGCATTTAAACAAAAGTAGGGAATTGTAATTGGCCTGGCAGAAAGAAAGATATGCTCAAGAAACCTTTGTGTCTCTCAATCTGACTTTCAGACTATTTAACAGCGGACCCAAAAGAAATGGGAATTTCCCCCAGAAATCTCATTCTGGGAGAAGGAAAAGGCACAGCCTGAAGGGGAGCTTGTCTCCTGAAATGAGATCTCACACAGTTCTAACAGTTTGTCAAACCACCTTGCACGATGAGACTGATACAATGATGGATCGATGATTAGTGGGGCCACACTTTGACTGGGACTGCTTAGATGTATTAGGACTCTGAAGATGGATTGGGATGGTCAATAGATCTCTTGGCCTCTCTTCCCAAAGTGAGTACACTGAATGTTTTTTAATGTTTTGTGTCATTAAAAACTGATAGATGATTGATGATAGATAGATGATAGATAGATGATAGACAGATAGATAGATAGATAGATGATAGATAGATAGATAGATAGATAGATAGATAGATAGATGATAGATA